AAAAAACCAGTTTCTCTTACTTTTCATTGATACTTTTTAGGGAAAAGCTGAACATAGTAAGCTACCACAACTCCGCCTTACGCTGTCTACTAAGGGGCCTGTAAAAATACTCTTTCTTCCTGCTTCCATTTACCCAGTCCTCAAAAAGTCCCGCCATGCAAAATCCCCTGTGTCGTGCAACTAACCAGTATTTGCGTAGACAGCCTCTAGATAAAGCTCTGTGGCCTGCGATAGGAAGAACAGCCTAGACAGCCCCTTCGGGGTTTAATCCCTGAAATTAGAGCCTTCAGTCAAGGCTTCATTCTAACAAGATTATTTGAAAAATTTTCATGGGCCGAGTTCTTTTTTTCAAACCCTTTTATAAAAGCACCATTCATTGACCTTTCCAATGCAGACAATACCACGCTAAAATTTACTGGAGAATATTAGGTGAGAATTAAAAAGCAATTTTTCAGTCTTATAAACTAAACATCTGTATTTTTAAATGAACAAAATACCATTTTAAATCCTAGACTTTCATGTGGGTTTTTTTTTTCTTTTCAGTTAAAAAAAAAAAATAAATCAAGAGCCAATTTACTACTCTCAAACTAAAATGCCCTGTAGTTACCTGGTTTGGTGTGATCCATATAAACCCAAACGCAAAGCCTTAGACGCACACAAAAATTAAGTTTATGTTAGAGGGGCCAGTGAATGTTTGAATAAAAGAGGCATGAATATCTGTGGCAACAAAGACTTGCAGAAGTGTTATCTACTTGTTGTCAAATCTATAGGTTTGCAAAAGGTTGTAGTATCTTGCCAGCTCTATATTTCTGCATGATTTGATGACTGGACATCTGTTTTGAAATCCCTGCAAAAAGCGTTCTAAAGTAATCTGTATTGCTATAGCAAAGCTCAGCTTTTCAGAAAAAGCAGCTGCTGTATTTTCTGGAATAAACACACAAACCGTTTTGAAGGCTTCACCCTTGATTCCTTCTTCTCAGTACTTCTACTGACTTCAGGGAAGTCTCAGTACATGAGGAACACACAATGGGCTGTGATTCCACAGCCTGGAGCTATCCAGGCTGCTTTTCCATCCCATGAAGTAAAGCAGCCTCCCCACAGCCATGCTGTTTTATACACCTGAAAGACAATTTCAAAAATTACCATGGTCTTACCAGGGAAGTTGGATATGCAGTCATTACTAAACTGCCATAAAGTTCCATATTACCAATTTTGTCACTACTGAACAGCTTCAAGACACGCAGTATCTTTGTGCTGCATCGCTTTTCACGCTGTAAGAAAACAAGAGCGTATGAACGACAGTAAAAACGAAGCCAAGCGTACTGTTGAGAAACCTGGTATTCTCTTATTTCTAGGAGAGTTATAGTGTAACTCTAAACTGTAGCATTCAGCATGTCTCCTGAGTTTCCTTGCTGAAATATTGCAATGGAAATTTTACAGCATCTGTGTTGCTTTTGGAAGCCATCACCTCACATCTGCTGTCTCTGTAGTGTGGAGCTTTAAGTTCAGCGTAAAAAGGTACTTTGTAACAGGCAATAGGAATCCTGACAGAGCGGCAATTTACAGACCCAGCTCTCCCGACTAGACTCACTCGTTTTTACATTCTGTAGAGATTTTTAAATAAGGTACTCTTCAAGCAGCCAACAGTATAACAAGTCACTTCTTAAAATGGAGCATCACATCCAGGACTGGGAAGAGACTTTTTAAACCTCTGTCAGCCACAGAGATCTCAGCCAGATGACAAATTTTTTCATTCTGTTTTCTTCGTTCAATCTCCCAACACTTTTCGGTAGGGTAATGTCTAAATCAGCATTAAAATAACCATCTGCTACTTTTGGGAAAGTTCTGATTTTGACCAGAAGTAACAACCTGTACCTAGCAGCGGGGCTGATCTCGCAGCCCGGGATGGGCCGCGTCCTCCCAGCGCTTCCCCGCCACGCCTGAAGGCAAAACCTTCCCTCGGGTGGGCGCTGGGGTCGAGAGAGGGGGGTTGCAAATTACCGCAATGATTACACAGTAAACGTGTTTATTGCCCCATTATTGCCCATTTCCTCCTAGCTGGGTAATCCGTGCGTTCATTTAAATAGAGGCAGACAGCGGCGGGGAGGATCCTGTTAGCACACCCAACAAACTTGGCACCGCTTTTTTTGTTTTGCCTCACGCGTTTAATT